CCAATCTTTAAATTAGTGCTATTACATTACAGGGCATGAGAATAAAGGATCATTTCCCCCTATAAAGGAATGGATTTAGCTGCATCTATTCCCCTTGTGACGTCACGTTTAGCCACACCCACCGACAGATAGTAACATTGAAGGAAGCAAAAATGAGCATTTTTGAAGGCTCATATCTCAGTGAATAATTTGTTTTGAATAATCGGAGTTGGAACACATCATTATTATGATCATGCAAACACATTGAGCCAATAAAAAAAAATACCCCAAAAATTCACGGAACTTACCCTTTAAATGATATAGATGCCAAATCCTGGGAATATGGAATATTTGGGAAATTGTAGATACATGTACAAGCACATGTATATATATTAAACTGAGATAAGGAAGCAATAACAATAATAATAAGATATGCCCAATACCAGGTGTTTATTCAAGCCAGGCTTCTATTTGAACATTTACAGTACATATGATCTAAACATAAATACATGTACACATACAGTGTACATGTTACATGTACCTTCTCTTACATGAAATTGGTCAAACTGAATGAGACAAATGATGATCCAATTCCAGCAATGGACTTTCAGAAATAATGGCCTAAAGTGGGTGTGGTCAAGACCAACATTCAAAAATAAGCAGAGACTAACCTCATACACTGGAGTGAAGAAACTGCAGAGGACACCAGACCCCTCCCCCTCCTCGTTGCTGAAGGATACCCTCAGTCTGTGGACACACAGCCGCTGGAGATTGATACTAACATGATGAAACTGGCACTGATCATTGAGCCAAGGAAACAACTCCAGGAGCAACCTCTCCCTCTCTCTTTCAACCTTAGGAAGAGAAATGAAAATGAACATACTACTAGTACATTATTCTTGTACATGGAGGGTTTCCACACAGGATTATGGCATAGTCCTCATGCAGCTTCTTGCCAATGGATTGTCAAGTTGCTACAAAATACAGGGACTTTGGCTTAATTTCACGAAAAATGACTAGGAGAGAATTCTCCATTATTATACATGTACATGTATAATTTTCTGATTTATAATTATACATCTTGTTGTGTCATATATCAAGTTTGAGCTGACTCCAATCAAGTTTCGATTTTTTTTACAAATTTTTATTTTCTCCAAAATCTGGCAAAGAACCCTGTACTAGGGACTTTGGCAAAATGTCATTAAAAATGAATAGGAGATACATGTAATTCTTGATTTTTGTAATTTTTCTGATACATACATGTATAAAAGTCCTTATGTCGTATATCAAGTTTGAGCTGATTCTGATCAATTTTATGAATTTTTAAAAAAGCTCCAAATGCCATGTACTGTATTGTAGTGTAAGCTTAATGTCAGCTCATGAAGCTCATGCTGTTTAGTTCACTTAACGTGCTTTGCTGTGCAATGTGCATGTACATGAAAGTAACAGAAGGAGAGAATTAGAAGAAATATGAAAATAGAAAGAATGTAGAAGGGGAAAAGAAGCAAGCTGATCAAAGAGAAGTGAAAGAATATGAGAAGAAAGGGAGTGTACATGTACATGTATAAGAACATCATTTAATGATTTAAAAAGTCTATAATTCTATAATGAGAAAGAGAGGAAGCGAGGGAGGGGGTATAGTGCATGTTATTACAGTGGGGGTGGGGTTACTCTACAATATGTTTTGGCATTGCTTTATAGTAGGGAGTGTTGCATTGTAGACATTCACAAAATATAATTAATTTTAAAGTATGAAAATTAACAATAATCCGACACCTTGAAAACAATAACAAGAAATTAATTCATAATGATTATACACTAACAGTGATTCCTCTTCCTCTCTCTCTCTCTCTCAAACTACATATGTGTAATATTTTTTGAGTTATGAGCTATTTTAAAAACAGCTAATTTTTTAATAATACCCAAAGCTATAGTCTATGGTATTTTCCAAAACATGGCCCTGAAATCAGTCAAATTACCCATATCTTTACGTTTTCAGATACAGATTGATGTACTAAGGAACAAGTTTGAGCTGATCCTGACAATGTTTTCAAGCATCAACCATGGTTAGAAACGGCAAATTTTCAAAAAAACACAAGGCTATATGGTTTGTTTCAAACAATGGCTCCGAAATCACCCAAAATTTTATTACATTTTCTGATACAATATTGATGTCCTTATGCCGTATAGAAAGTTTGCGCTGATTCCAAAAAATATTTTTAGAGTAATGAGCATTATTTTAATAGGCCAACTTTTGAAAAATATATGTACCCAAGACTATGCTTTTCTGCAAAAAAGATCCCAAAATTAGCCCAAATTTGCATTTCATTTTCTGATACATATTTATGTACTTATGTTGTGAAGAAAGTTTCCGGCAGGCAATTCTGACAAATATTTTTGCAATTAAAAAAAGGCAAATTATTTTATCCAAAAATGGCTCCAAAATCACCCTATTATTTATTACATTTTCTAATACAGATTGATGTACTTGAGCTACATGTACATTGTATGTAGAAAGTTTAAGCTGATTCTGGTTTCAATTTCTAAAGTTACTACCATTTCTTCCAGAAATATTACCTCCAATATTTACTATTACTATCACTTACAGAGTAGTTGTAAGACACGGTCTTCCTTCCTCCACAGGTAGCGAAGGGGTGGGGTGAGACTAGTCCAGCTACTCAACCTATGAAGAATAATAAATAAATAAATAATAAAATCACATTACTTAATTGTAACTTATGTGAACCATAAAAATTAATACTGAAAATGAGTAAAATTAAACACCCAAGTTGTAAAAATTTATAAAGATCCAAATTTGATCAGAATCAGCTCAAACTCTCAACACAACATAAGAACATGTACCTGTATATACATTATGTATCAGAAAATTATATAAACATAAATTTTCCTCAATTAATTTTTTTGGCAAAATTTGGCCCATGACCACGCAGAGACTTTGATCCCATTTTTGAGCAACATTAAAAATTCGTAAAAATCTAATTTTGATCAAAATGCGCACAAACTTTCTACACAACATAAGCTTGCATAGCCAGACCCTACATCCTTTCCATCATTTAAACGGTTAAAGTGCATGTATACATGCATCAGGAAAGGTATGCTGGTATTCAAAGAGAAAATTTAGAAATTTACCTTATTTTCTGGTCCTGGTCACTGTTTTCTTTATTAATTTTCTTATCAAGCCACGCCCAAAGTCCTTGCCCACGCAGTCCACGTGAAACCACGTGTGTAAAATGGTGTGTAACTCATCGTGTCAAGAAAAGTTTTATACCCCAACTAGTCATGATAATGACACTACTGTGTCTATTGTGTATTGGGGCCATAATCCTCCAGTACACGATATTACCAGTATGACCAGGTACAGAGCTTTGGATTTTGATACTGACTATTATACTGTGTATTTAATAGGACAGAGGAGGATAAAGGAGGAGCTACCGGTACTAAAATGGGACAGATTTGTATCTGGAACTTATACAGGAAGAGAATCAATGGAGAATTTGTGGTTAGACCAATTATCACTATCACTTAAAAGCCTTTATGTATCATTTTAATTAATGCCCACCACAATTTCCAATTAATGCCCATCTTTTCCTAGTTATGTCTGAGACTATTATTACTAGGAATGCAGTCTTAAGACAGGGACAGGATTGTCAGTCTTAGTAAAAATGAGTGCGTTGATGTGGTAGGGGTGTGTCTAGTTATTAATGTTATATTAATAAGTGCATAGCATTGTGGGATGGTAAAGATGGGACGTGTCTTAAGACTGTTAATAATTGAATGCATTATGGATTACAGGTAGTGATAATATTAATGGAGCATTATCTAAATCAGGGTTTCCCCATTAAATTGTGATAATTTTGTGATAATATAATAATTGTGGTACTATATTTTATATAATTATACTTTCTTGTTCTTTATTATCATTAGCTGCAGGTGTGAAGTCTATCATTGGTAAGCTTCATTGAGAGGAAGGTTCTGCTGCTCCTGATTTCAAGTCTCATTTCACAGGCTCTCTCTCTGACTCATGGCAGTCCCTAGCCACTCCTTGTTCCCTTATTGACTCAGTTGTCAGTTATCATATTCCTGGGAATTCCCAACCATTGCAATCATTGCATGCTCAATGGGACATGGCCACAAATTGCCAAATTGAAACCTGCCAATCAACAAAATTCACAAAATTACTCCCTCCAATATTACCAGCCTTACATGTACATGTACAATGTGTTATACCCTCTTTTTCAACCCTCCATCTCTCATTCTTTTTATTATATGATCTTTCTATTCTATTTTTTATTTTAATGTATGTTAATTCTTTATATTTTCTTTCCCTCTGTATCTCTCCTTTGCCCTCTCTCTCTCTCTTTCCATTAGTATCCCAGTATCAGTGCTAGTCCTTCTTCCAATATTACTGTTTCTTTATTTTTGACACAATTCAGTCGGTTGATCTATGGATTGTCCAATGGTGGTATTATAGTTCTATCAGGAACTCAAGCAGCTACCAAACTCTAACTAGCCAAGAGAAAGTTCTCAAGAGGTACTCTGCATACAAATGTACAATAATTGTATACATGTCCATGTATGTACATGCATTCATACATGTACATGTACATTGTAATTACATGCAATATGAATAGGATATTTTTCTGTAGAAATAGTAATACCAAGTGTTTATCATTCCTGTAGTCTACTTATGTACAGTTGTACATGTACAGTACATGTATTTACAATGTACATATCACCTCTGTTTTTTTCTCTGTGCTTCTGTCTTCTCTCTCTCTCTCCTTCTCCTCTATAGCATGGTCTCAATATTATTTCTTAAGAGGTCACAAGAGGAGAGTTCCCTCCTGTTGTATCCTGTGACTATAGCACTGCTTATGATACCAATCACTTGTTATCTGGTGGTCCTGATTTCTCTGTTAGATTTTGGGACCTCTTCAAAGGAATATTGTTCCACACTATTGCAGTTCATGGTGGGGTGGTCAGTAGCATTGTAACATGTCCTCCTCATATTAATGTAAGCTTTGCTCCCCCCCCTCACTCTTTCTCTCTCTTTCTCTCTCACACCAAAGCATTCAATTGCTAATACATGTACATGTACATGTATTTGTAGTACTGTAATACCAACATGTAGTGTATAGTAATTAATATGCATGTACATGTAATTATTTTCACTGAAATACATGTGTATGTACATTTTCATATATTGACTATTTACATGTACATGTACATGTATAAGTTACTAATGTGCTGAAAAGTATTGTAATTTTTTGTGGCTTTCATGTTGCCTTCATTTGCTTACTTATTTGATTCAATAATGTCATTTACATTTTTTGACAGTTACACATGTACATGTAAATATCAAGTTTTAAATGTAGTGTATATGTACATGTATAAGCACAAATTGCAATGTTTCCCTCCTCTCTCTCTCTCTTTCTCCCTTTAACCATCAGCTCACCTAGACTCCTTGTATCATGCCTTCATGCATGGAACCTTGAAAACTCACTGGACAAGTTAGTATTAGATTGGTACTAATAATCAATGTTTTGAAGAATGATATTATGAATAATGATAATGATGTATTGTTGTATTGTTGGCATTGTTACTGGGGCCATACATGTATCATCTGTCTTTCTTACTGTTGGAACTTAAGTATTGGCAGTAGTTGAATTTGGCAATTTGTAATTGGTGGGTTTTACATATGTACATGTATACATGTATTGGTGTCATTTGGTGATTTAGCAGCCAAATCCCATTGAGCATGCTCAGAATAAAAGAAAACGACAGATTTTATATAAGTGGATGCTCACTGCAACCAATATTGAGTACTCCATGAATGTGCATATTTATATGGTATCATCTCTATTTATATGTCATTTGATATACTATGATCGTGAAATTTTGAAATGACACATACATGTACATGTACATGTACATATGTACTTTTGTGTATGTATTGCTTAATTTTCTAAATTTGTCTTGTTAACGACCTGGGGGCGAAGCCCCCAGGTTGTTCCTATAATTGAATTCACCCTCGCGCTATGTATATACCGTATTTCCTTAAATAAAAGCCCGGGCGTCTATTTCCTAAAATGGTATTTGGACCTCAAAAAAATATATAAAAAATAAAAAAAATTAGGCCCAGAGCAGGGTTTGAACCCGTGACCTCATGCTTTTGACTTCTGGAACTTCAGGCAGCATCCACTAGACTACTGAGTCACTCCTAAGCCTGTGTTGCGTATTTATATTTAAATTGTATTGCTACCCCGGCGTTTATTCAAATGCGGCTTCTATTTAAGGATTTACGTTATATATATATATATATATGTATTTATTTGTATGTCCACACTTACATTTCTTCTATACACGTTGTATTGAAGAAATAACAAGCCTTAGCAACCACCTGCCCACGCTCCTTTACGTGAGTGGGTGTGGTCATGGCAAACAAAATGGCGGCTTACACATGGGACAAAGCTAAGAGCTTTCTAACAGCAAGAGAGCATAGAGATACTGTCTAAAGACATCTCTAGAAGCATTATAAGGTAGAGAGAACCTCTATAAGTCTTAGTAATGACCAAGTTGTACTTGCAAGGTGGTGAAATCAATTATAGGAATATTTTTTACCCTGTTACGCTTGTTTTTCATGTTTAATTATAATTTTTGGGGCGAGCCTGAGCTTGCCCCACTCTAGCTATACTCTCAGTCACGCATCCCGTCTGTTCCTCTGTCTGTCTGTCCTCGTATGTCACCCCTATTTATGCGTAGATCTAATACGGTAGATAGATACTATGCATTACCAATGCAATTTTCAATTTTTCATTGAAAGTGGGAGCGGTCAGAGTAAAATAAAAATGGCAACCAACACACTGGAAGAATTCATGAGCTTTCTAGCAGCAATATAAGGCAGATACCGTCCAAAGACTTCCCCAGCAGCTATAGAAGGTTTTAAATTCAATTAATAATTTATGAAGCTCGTCTTTACTGATGCAATTGCTATTAAAACTGTGAAAGTCAATCAAGCTTTTTCTCAGTCATCTTAATATTGGATAATATTATATCTAAAGCTAAGTAAAGCATTATTACAGATATTTATAGGCAAGAAATGTGTATGTGAAACTAGAAGACTAAAAGTTAAATAAAATAAATGATATAAAGTGATTTTATCAGCAGCATTAAACTTTCATCATGTGAATCATGTTTGCTATGCCTAAATCATGATGCATGCTTTGAAATCATTGGGAGTAGATTATAGATGGATAGATCCAGTGCCATAATTGCTTTGCTAGCTTAGGCTCGCCCCTTAATGTTCTACATTGCTTCTAGTATTATTAATTGGGGCGAGCCTGAGCGAGCCCCACATAAATGAGACACATATGTATGTATGTTTGTTTGTTTGTTTGTACACGTACGTCACCCCTATTTATGCGTAATACGGTAGATGCTATGCATTGAAAAGGGTATATAAATTCAGTTTTCAATATTTCATTAAAAGTGGGAGTGGCCACAATGAAATAAAATGGCGACCAACACACGGGGAAAAGTCGTGAGTTTTCTAGCAGCAAAATAAGACAAAAATTCTGTCCAAAGGCTTCTCCAACAGCCAGGCAAGGTTATAGATGCAATAAAGTAACTATAAAACTTATTTTTGCTGATAACTTGACTTACTGTACTGGCATACTACTGTCCAAAGCAACGGCAGGGAATGTTAAGAAAGCAGATATGCCATCTTTATTGATGTGAATGACTTTGAATGTCTGTCACAGCCTGAACTAACTTGGACTACATTGCTACAGTTGCCTATCTAGCCATATCATTTGTGCAGTGACTGCTTCTAGCTATCTTTAATGCTTTCCAAATGCTAAACTTGATTTGATTACAAAGGTAAGTCAAGAACTACACTGCACTCAATCAAGTTCTGAGCTGCACTGTCATGAGTATTGGTTAGTCTGTCAATATCTATTGTATGTACATTGCTTTACTTGCTTAGGCTCGCCCCTTCAATGTTTTACATTCATCTAGTTATGTTTATTTTTGTATTTATTGTTATTTAGAGAGTGTGAGGATATATTAGGATTAGTAAGGTCATCCTGTCCTGTCTCATTTGGTTTATTGAGTAAAGGAGGAGGACTGTCACTAAAGTCTATTCACTTTCACCTGACCCCTGGCTTTTTTCAATTAATAAATAACTACGTCACATCCGCATTCTTTACGTATTTGTGGTTTTGGAATTGTTTTTGTTGCACGGAAGGGATGCAGATAAGTAGCAGCTGAATTTTATCTGGCTGTTCTAGCTGCATAATTGCGGTCAAAGGTATGTCATTGAGTTTATACAGGGACATCCAAAAAAGGCTAAGGCCTTATCATTTTGACCCGATCCTTTTATCTAAAGGACGGGAAGGACCTAGCGATTCTAATGGTGCAAATAAAATTTCTAAATTCCATGTTTATCAAAAGTTATAACAAAAAATCAATAGGTCAGGTGAAACTGAATAGACTTTAGTACTGCCTACCTGGGGACTGGTTAAAGAGAGTCCGTCACCTGTTCATAATAATGGAGGAGTGGCTCTGGATGATTTATTGATACTAATTATAATCATCAATTGACACTCATATTTGTTGCCAGAGAATATTCAAGAAATGGTAAGTGACATACATGTACATGTATGTTTTATTATTTTTTAAATTTTTATTTTTTCTTTTTATTTACATGTATTTATTTATTTTTATTTTATTATTTTTATTTATTTACTTTTAATTTTTAATTTTTTATAATTCTTATTTTTTATTTCTTTTTTTAACTTTTTTTTATTATTATTTATTTTCCTTTTCTTATTTTATTTTAATTTTTTTAATTTTAAGTATTTGTGACCCGATATGAGAAAACCAGGCTATATGCTCCAAAATTGAAAATTGAGATTTATGGGTTTCTTAATTAAGCAAAGTTTTTCCTATCTTTTGGTCCTTCTTCCATGTCATTTGACACATCTAGTGCTGAGTTATGCTTATTTATGCAACAAGAATTCTAAACGAATGAAATTGAGTTACAGCCATTTTTATCATTATATCTTGCATTATTTACATGGTACACAACAAAAAGAAAGGTCTGTAAATGACCTCTTTTAAGTTATTTTAGGGCAAACTTTGTATCAAATGAAAGGAAATTCTTTATACAATATATTTTTGGTATAATCTCAGTTTTGATAAGGTACCACTGTCACAACTTTAAGAAGCCATATCTCTAATTGATAATTCCCGCAGATAGCCTGGTTTTCTCATATTGGGTCACATTTAATTTGAATTTCTATTTTATTTTTATTTTTAATTTTTTATGTTTTTGATT